GACGACAAAACATCAATGACAGGGACGAGATACAGAAGGGAACAGAGCATGGAAAGCATTGGTTCACCTAAACAAACGAAGGGAAAACGGTGTGGACCAGGCTGAGCAAGATTGCCTTATTAGAACATAGAACTCCCGTGCTTGTTCGTCACGTTGGAATTTATCGTTTGTCCATATATATATATATATATATATATATATATGTCGGTGTTAATCATGTCCAGGATCTATAAATATTCTCGTCAGGACATGCTACGACTAAAAACGGTGAATCCTGTGCTACCTTTTTGCTTGGTGAGAGTCATAAAAGTCCTTGGGTCAAGAAACGCAGGCGGGCCGGATGGCAGACTGCACTTACTTGCACCCCTCCTGCGAGATGACTGTGCTTTTATTGGTCAGCACTGAAGTTCACGAAGATCTCGAATTTTACCTCCATTCTGAACACACGCATAAATTCCAACACATGTTGCTTGTGTACAAGAAATCTGGTTAAATCAAAACATTGAGGACCTTCTCGTGCGAATAGAAGGGTATGATTGCTACCGGCAGGATAGTCTGCGAAGAAGGAAAAATACCGGTGGCGGTGCAGCTACTTAAATCTACATATGTTCCATAGTGTGGCAAGTCAGAATTTATATTTAACTATTTTGGAAAATGCATTGACTGTTTATCTGTTCGTTGTCATCCTAAATTTTCTCGTCACAAAAGCACAATCATCATTAATGTGTATATATTTCCCTCGTATACTGGGGCCGAAATTTCTGCTTTCTTAGCTTCCTATATTCCGTTTCTAGTTTCATTATTGGATGAAAATCTTCACTTATTTGTTGGTGATTTCAATCATGCATTAATTTCTCCCCTGGTTCCGTTTGGTCTGTCTGACCTTTCTCATTCTCCTACCAGAGGTAGTTCTGTGCTGGACAGAGTGATCACAAATCATCCCAACTTATTCTCTCTCAAACTAATGGCCCCGGTTTCTACCAGTCACCATAGTATTCTTCTTGTTAGACCAAAGGTATACTCTCGCATTGCTTATCAAGCATTCATACGTTCCACTCAGATAACATTTCATCTAAGGGACTTTTCACCAAACCGTATCTCTCTTCTCAACCGTTCCGTTGTGATTGTTCAGTTTTGGTTTGATTCTTGTTCATCGCCTTTAAAATGTGTCTGTTCTCTGAAATGATTCTATCGATTTTTAACCGGTGTTGTCCAGTGGAAACCCCGTTTGTCTGACTGCAGAATTATCTCAGCCTTTTTGAACTCACTAAGAAGGCACAAAGAAATATGCCTACAAATCTCGCCATGCATCAACTGTAAAGCACTATTCTGATTTAATCAGGTCCGAGATAACGTACCTAAATGCAATCCTAGCCGCCTAAATTCGGCGAACAAAGAACACCAGGCTTTTATGGCAAGTTGTTCACCTTCTCTGTAGGCAGAACAGAAAACATTCTAATATCTCTGTGGATGTCAACAGCCTTAACGCCGCTTCCATCCACCTGTCAAATGTGAGCCAGATTCCTTCATTCCTATGCGATGACTCCAGTTCAGTGTCTTTTTTCAATGGTTTAATCTTTGAGCTTCTTCGATCCTGCAAAGCATCCTCAGCTGCAGGCCCTGATGATCTTCCTCCCGCACTTATGAAGTTTGGAGCAGATTCCCTAACCAATATCATGACATACGCCGTCCCTATCTTCTCGGTCGATTCCTGGAGTCCACTGAACATTAATCGAATCCTCAAATCCACGTCCTCAACTGTTCTTGCGAAACGGTTTCGTCCTATCGCGCTGACCTCAGGGGCTCTAAAGTTAATTGAAAAAGCCATCCTGAGTCGGTTGCAGTCAGACACCAAAATTCCTCACGACCCCCTTCAGCGTGCATATAAACTAAATGGATCTACATTAGACGCTGCGTCCACTCTAATGCATTTTATCAGCAAGTCATTGAACAATTCGGTCAAGTCTGTCCGTTGTGTATTTTTTGACTATTCGTCTGCGTTTGATTCTGTTTCCCGATC